GGTCATCTCCAGTCCCAACCTCAGACCCAGGATGTACAAGAGGTCAATCAACTTGTGGCAGAGCACAAACCGGGCTACTGTGCCGCAGGGGAAGCTGACGCTGGAGGATGTGATGATGGACAGTACAGGATTGATGCACTTCGAGATGATGCTTTCCTGCAAATACACTCTACATTCTTGACTGCAGCCACAGCTAATCATTGACACAAATTTCACATGTAACATTTCTTCTTCTGGTGTAGATCTCTGGTTGCACTAAGGCTTTTCACAGATACATATTTAGCACCTTTCAGCTGAAACATCCTACTCCATTCTGATATCTAATGTCTATGTAAGGCTTCTCAAAGATACTGCTTGGTCTCAATAAGATGAGATTATTTGCAGTTAGCAAATATGACTAATCAGACATCTTTGTAAACTGTCTCTTGCAAAACATCTTTGTAAACTGTCTCTTGCAACAACACAACAAAAGGGGAGGGGGAGGGGGGAGGAATCTCAATCTCCTAACATGTTGGAATTGCGACCAATCAGAGAGTTTCTTAAACTGTCTCTTGCAACAACAACAAAAGGGAAGGGGGGAAGGGGGGAGGAATCTCAGTCTCCTAACATGTTAGCATTGCGACCAATCAGAGAGTTTCTTAAACTGTCTCTTGCAACAACAACAAAAGGGGAGGGGGGGGGGGGAGGAATCTCAATCTCCTAACATGTTGGAATTGCGACCAATCAGAGAGTTTCTTAAACTGTCTCTTGCAACAACAACAAAAGGGAAGGGGGGAGGAATCTCAGTCTCCTAACATGTTAGCATTGCGACCAATCAGAGAGTTTCTTCAACTGGATCTGTTGGGGCCGAAAGGTGCAGATTTCAAAATCTGAAATGCACACAGACTGGCTGAGTACCACATCACTACATGCCAACCGCCTTTTTAAGGAATAGTGTAGAAGAAGAAGAAGAAGATGAAAAAGAAGAAGATGATGATGATGAAGAAAAAAGGAGGAGGAAGAGAAGAAGGAGAAGAAGAACAGGAGGAAGAGGAGGAGGAGGAGAAAGAAGAAGAAGAATCATGACCTGGTTAGATACTAAAAGACCACTGCAAAGAAGCCAAGTTCCAGTGCCAGTCTTGTACAGCCACATGGGCCCTGGACTAGGGGAAGGTTAGAAATTGATTTCCGTCTGCACGGAGAAGTCATCTGCTACCAGGTCGCTAGAATAAGTTATAGACAAATCTGACTCAAGCAAGTGCAAGCCCTTTTCAGGGCTTAAGGGACCTCAACATCTGATGCTAATGTTCTCAATACATGGGCTCTGAAGTTAACTCTCAATACATGGAACTCTTAAAGTTAAAACTATCTATACATGGAACTCAAAAGCTAGAACTCTCAATACAAGGAACTCTAAAGCTAACAGTCTCAATCCATGGAACTCTAAAGCTAATACTCTCAAAATATGGAATGCTAAATCTAAAATGCTCAATTTGTGAAACTCTAAACATGTGGAATTCTAAGTTAAAACATAAAACTCAAAACATAGAACTTTAAAACTAGAATTCTCAATACATGGAACTCTAAAGTTAAAACTCTCAATACATGAATGTAAAATTAAAACTCTCAATACATGGAACTCAAAAGCTAAAACTCTCAATACATGGAACTCTAAAGCTAAAACTCTCAATATATGTTCTTCTAAAAAAATGTACAAACAAACATAACACATAACTACACCCCTTAAATTGGTTTTCCTTTTGCCCTCCACCCCCCCCCCCTCCCACATTTTCCCAATCTGTTGGACCTCCCTAAACTTGTCTTGGCCCATGTACATTGACTGCTGTCTATGGAAGTACTATGTGGTGAAGCCACAATCTGTAGGAGCTCCCTAAACTTGTCTTGGTCCATGTACATTGACTGCTGTCTATGGGAGTACAATGTGGTGAAGCCCCAATCTGTAGGACCTCTCTAAACTTGTGTTAGTCCATGTACATCGACTGCTGTCTACGGGAGTACTATGTGGTGAAGCCCCAATCTGTTGGACCTCCCTAAACTTGTCTTGGTCCATGTACATTGACTGCTGAGTATGGGAGTACTATGCGGTGAAGCCCCAATCTGTTCCATGGAGCGACTCTCATACCACTGTTCTAAAGTCACAAGAACTTCTTTGTTAAACTGCCAGCCACCGAAACCAGAATACTCCAGAAAGTGTGAAGTGTGTTTATTTACTTACCAGTAGGTCACAGTGCTGTACACTCAATGGAATTGAGATTTAAATAAATGCATACCTACACATACACACACAAACCTATAATTACAGCCTACCTCCAAGAGGTTCATGAGGTTTGTGTCCGACAAGTATGGAATCAGGAAGGAGAGCAGGACAACTGAAGCAATCAAACCTCCCTCACACCGGGGGGACAGCCTCTTCTGGGCCATTTTGATCTGAAATATCGTATGTATCTGGCGTCATTACCATGTAGCCATTCACATATACACTGATGTCACCACAGATACTATATTTGTAAACTTTGATGAGAGAGAAAGGTTTCGTAAAGAAAAGCAAAATAAAGCAGATAGCAGACTGCTGGGAGAGACCGGGGGAGGAGAGAAAAAAGGGGGGGGGGGTGGCGGCGACGGAACAGACAGAGATAGAGAGAGAGAGAAAACATAAAAGTCTGAATAAACAAACAGTAAGAAAAGGATGGTGAATTAGGCATGAAGGCCTGGCTGACTTTCTGTCCCATGTTCCAACTGTCATTTTTTACCAAGCACAAGACACGCCAATGACTGTGCTAAATACATAAAAATGTATTTCTTTCACTTATAAAGTTGATTTAAATCAGATTTAAAAACATCAATATACTGCATAATTCCATAAATTTTAAAGAAAACAGTGGACATCCATGATTGAATTTTGCAGGAAACAAACCAGAATCAATGTTACAGCACTGCAAATGTGAAGCAATTTAGTACAGTTTGTTGTCTGTATGCAAGCCACAAGATTCCATCTCTTTCAGTCTGCAGATTCCCTGACAAGATTGTGTCATTAATGAAGTCAGCACAATACAATTTCCCATCACTTGTGTCTGAGAACCATCTAGCACTTTTCTCAGTTTTGGTTGTATGAAAAACAGTAGTAGTTGATAGCAGTGTTTAAGAGTGGGGCAGTAAATGTGTGTTGTTTCTAGAGGATTGGACAGGGATGAAAGAAGTGATATGAATATGCAACTGTTTGCAAAGAGACCAGAAATGCAACAAAGTGGACAAATAAATAACAGATGTGAAAGAGAGATAGAATATAAACACTAAAAATTACAAGAAAAAAAGTTGCAGAATATCATAAACATTTACTTTAGGCAAAATAGTGATTTGCAATAAACGTTTTCCCTGCCAAGGTGGTATTCTCACAATAGCACAGATGCCATTTTCCCTGCCAGGTGGTATTCTCACTATGGCACAGATGCCATGTTCTCTGACAGGTGGTATTCTTACAATGTCACAGATGCCATTTTGTTTGCCAGGTGGTATTCTTACAATGTCACAGTGCTATTTTGCCTGCCAGGTGGTATTCTTACACTGTCACAGATGCCATTTTGCCTGCCAGGTGGTATTCTTACACTGTCAAAGATCCCATGTTCCCTGCCAAGTGACCTACTTAATATGTTTAAGATGGCATGTTCCCTGCCAGTGACCTACTTACCATGTCACAGATTCCATGTTCCTTGTAAAGTAACCTACTTACCATGTCACAGATGCCATGTTCCCTGCCAAGTAACCCACTTACCATGTCATGGATGCCATGTTCCCTGTCAAGTTACCTACTTACCATGTCAGAGATGCCATGTTCCCTGTCAAGTATCCTACTTAATATGTCACACATGCCATGTTCCCTGCCAAGTTACCTACTTACCATGTCACAGATGCCATGTTCCCTGTCAAGTGACCTACTTACCATGTCACAGATGCCATGTTCCCTGCCAAGTGACCTACTTACCATGTCACAGATGCCACAGATGCCATGTTCCCTGTCAAGTACCTACTTACCATGTCACAGATGCCATGTTCCCTGTCAAGTGACCTACTTACCATGTCACAGATGCCACAGATGCCACGTTCCCTGTCAAGTACCTTACTTACCATGTCACAGATGCCATGTTCCCTGCCAAGTGACCTACTTACCATGTCACAGATGCCATGTTCCCTGCCAAGTGACCTACTTACCATGTCCAAGATGCTGGTCAAACATTGGATGAGCACCACCTGTTCTCCGTACAGAACCACAGTAAACTCCAGGCACTCTAGAACTTTCTGAGAGTTCTTGTCTCCTAAAACCAGACGTGATGTTTTGGCAATCTTCCCACCTGCAGACAATGTGTTCATCATGTTAAATCTTTGTGACAATACCTCTCTTTTCGCCCCCTTATTTCTAATGTTTCCTATTCTCTCAAATTTGTCTAATCCTTTTCAATTTTCTTAACTATTCACAAATCTCAGAATTTTCAAAAGTAGCTAGAGTCTTCCCTACATTTCTACAATCAGTTCGCTGATACAGTCACCCCCATTCCCCAAAGAGAAACCATTACCCACTTGATGAATCACTTTTACTGACAATCAACTTTTGCAAGCATTACCTTCCCTTGAGTCATTCTATTAGCCAGTTCAGTTCTCTATTACTGAGCATTTCATGCCAGGGGTGCAGCTCACTGGCACCTTTTTTTTGGAGACAAGCAGCTCTGTACTTGTCCTCATTCTGTACTCTAGTGCAGGGAATGAATAATTCCAAGCTTTATTTGATTTTTATTCATTTTAATTCTCATCAGTCTCCTTATTCGTGCCTAGTCTGCAGTGGGGAAATGTCAGGCAGATTCCATGGTTGAGATCACATCAGATCAAGCAAATGTTGCAGTTCCATCCATTCATCTGCCACTCTAAGATATCAGTGCATCATGCCATTCCAGTCTTAACATCAGTGCATTTGAGTGGTGTAAATGTGTTCTGTCTGTTTACAGCAAAGTTTTGATAATGTGAGCCTTTAAACCAATGCATCCAATTTCTGTGGGCATTGGTTTTCTGGACTAGTCTACCTGCTCTGTTTCACGGGACACTGAGGGGCGTTTGTTTTCTGGACTAGTCTACCTGCTCTGTTTCACGGGACACTGAGGGGCATTTGTTTTCTGGACTAGTCTACCTGCTCTGTTTCACGGGACACTGAGGGGCATTTGTTTTCTGGACTAGTCTACCTGCTCTGTTTCACGGGACACTGAGGGGCATTTGTTTTCTGGACTAGTCTACCTGCTCTGTTTCACGGGACACTGAGGGGCGTTTGTTTTCTGGACTAGTCTACCTGCTCTGTTTCACGGGACACTGAGTGGCATTTGTTTTCTGGACTAGTCTACCTGCTCTGTTTCACGGGACACTGAGAGGCATTTGTTTTCTGGACTAGTCTACCTGCTCTGTTTCACGGGACACTGAGGGGCGTTTGTTTTCTGGACTAGTCTACCTGCTCTGTTTCACGGGACACTGAGGGGCATTTTACAGAGTTGCTTATGTGGTGACCTCATCATCTTCTGATCCATAGAGGACCCATCCAGGACAGCTGCGTGCAGACTGGTCGACCTTCAAGGAAGGCAGGGACAGAATGAGGGCATTCCCTGCCAGCCAAGAAGGCTTCCATAAGTGCAGAGCTGATATACGGTGCTCTGGTCCTGGGCTCATCCAAGGAATCGTTATGTTCTGCACATGAGTGCTCAATCCTCACATCTGTATATTCAGTATTCCGTTCTTTATGGGCATCACGATTTAGAGATCCCCAAGCAGCAGTCCGCAGACAGCTGCCTTTACAAAATTGTAATTTCACTTCCTTAGCATATCAGACCTCTCTCTTCACCAATGGTACCATTCCTGTGCATGTCCTGCGGTGTTCTGCTCAGCATTTTTGGGAAGCAAGCATCAGGCATGGACAATAAACTCTGACGAGTGTGGGCAATAGAAGCAGATGATTTAACCTCTGGTGTCATGAAGTAGGATCTTTGAGTATATAGTAGGACACTCAATGGACAGACTTTTGAATCTAAGTAGACATAAGGTAGGAGGACTGGCAGCCAAAAGATGTTTGAACCAATTTGTCATTTAGTAGGATATTTGGGCAGCAGCATTGCTCACATTTCACATGAGTTTGTAATGGATATTATCACTCAGGCACTGGGAGTTGGCTTCTGTGTGCTAGAGGATTTCTGGAGAGTGCAAATCTGGGCTCCACCAAATCCGTGGTCCCCTGCCAGCTCTGTTTAGGCTGATACAGGCCATTATCACAGTGCACGACAAGGACGTGTGGCAGGAGTCTTACATGAGGATCCGTTAAAACAGCAAACAGCCAGCTGGTGCTGTGGTTCTGGTTACAGAGTTTCTCCTTATACACAGCATGATGGTCTTGACTTTTTCTCATGCCTGTGACACAGGTAACCTCTCCAGGAAGTGCTGGATATGCTTTTACATTAGAAACAAAGGAATAATACCTTTATATCAGGAGCTTGCTAACTTGACAAAGACTCACCTGTCTGCTCAATGACCTGCAGCTGGTCCTGGCCCAGATAGCACAGAGCCAACATTCGTACCAAGTTTCTCGACAAGAACTTGGTCGCCAGAACTGGGCCTAGCTTATGGGATAGCCATTTAACTGAGTCTGCAGCAACATCCCGTATGTTGGTGATGTGTCCAGAACTATCCGAGGACAAGCTGACCATAATGTCTTCAGTCTCACTACGAACCATGTCTGACCCCACCCTCCGTGACCTTGACTGATATTCAGACGAAGAGGAGGTTATTTTTTGACCATCAACTTCATCTTCCTGTGACGAGGAATCGGACATGTCTGTCCGTGTGTTGTCCTCTAGAACATCATCCAAGTTTTGTTGTGAAGTCTTCACATGGCTGTCGTTATAATTCTCCTCACTGCTGCTCTCTAGAACAGCATCCAGATGTGACTGTGCCATGGGAGCAACACTGATGTCTGCTGCAGTCTCTTGAGACAGGCTGAGCTCAGGAGGCTGGGGTTGTCTGTGTGTTTGCTCATCTGTGACTTCAGTGACATTCTCTAAAGGGCTTACGGCTGAATGATCACAGCCACTTGTTTCCACATTGGCCAGTCTCTGAATGTCTTCATCTCCATTTCCAAGAGGAATGTCTTCTTCTGAAGGTTGGGCAGACTGGGAATGAGCATCAGAGTGGAGAGAGTCTGTAGCTTTACCAGAAGACAGGGGAGAACCTTCTGATGTCTCAACCTCATGGAATGCTGCCTCACATGGCTCCAGATCATCTAGTGCACCTGGGGAGGCGGCCATGTTCTTACCCATGATGTGGGAGATGCTGTGGATGGAGTGCTGATCCAGGTTGTCATAAGCACTTCCCGAGGCAATGTCTTGATCGTCCAATAGGATGGCTCGTCTCTTCATCACAGTTTCATCTATTCTATCATCACTACTTTCACTTCCCAGCGAGTCCCTCTCTGAGACATCTCCCTGAGAGATTTTCCTCTCAGAGTCCAAACCATCGTCATCCAAAAGTACATGTGCGCCATCTAGTGACATCTCATCTACAAGGTCACCATTATCATTTTTCTCATGATTATCTCTGTCCACGTCAATGCCATCAACAGCGTCAGCATCATCCACATCAACAACACCACCATCTCTATAATCCTGCGCTGCAGCAAACTCAGCTCCTGGCCAGACCGCAGCTTTAGACTTGACCGGTACTGGTTTCAGCACAGTCTGCTGGTCCAGCTCCTCCAACAGCTCCTCGGCGTTGAACCGGCTGGTTACGTTGAAATCCTTGTAACCAGCAACAGCTTCCACCAGTAGAGTGGAGAAGTAATTGAGGAATGTCTCCAGACCCAGTCGCACAATCAGCTGCATCAAAAACGATCTGCAAATAATGAACATTTTAAATAAATCAGGTCATATTTATAAGACTGATAACACGATTATCCTTTACAGCTCTGAATCCTTGAGTACAGCTAAAAGAGATGAAGCATTATGAACATCTCATGAGATCAGAGTCTTGGGATGAATCTTGGACCATTACAGATGCAAACATGGAGAATGAAGAATGAGAAGCAACAACAAATCTGTTTCAATGACCACTGGTTGCTGGCATCATGATGGCTAATGGGCAGCAATGGTAGGGACATAGCGAAAGAATGGCAGATACAAGAGAGACGAACACTGCACACACAAAAGAGCTGAATGGGAGTAGACCACAAGACTGACCAAGAAGATGATGAGGACACAATATCCAGACAGACCCACAAACACTTGCAGTCACCAGCTGCAAAGAGGAGGTCAGTCACAGAGACCATAGAGGTAGGTGATATCTGCATCACTATCAGGTGATATCTTTAAAAAAAAAAAAAAAAAGGTGCCTCCAGAAAGAAATCCTGCATTTACCATTGTTGAATGGCACAGGATCACAGCTTTGGTATTAGACCACAGGTCATGTTTTATTTCCTGAGCAACAATGTCAACCAAAGTTGTCCTGCACTTCTGCATACACCAAAGTTGTCCTGCACTTCTGCATACACCAAAGTTGTCCTGCAGTTCTGCATACACCAAAGTCTGCATCTGCTCTTCTGCATACACCAAAGTCTGCATCTGCACTTCTGCATACACCAATGTCTGCATCTGCACTTCTGCATACACCAATGTCTGCATCTGCACTTCTGCATACACCAATGTCTGCATCTGCAGGCAGTTTCTAAGAAGCAGATTCAGATATGTGCACATTCTCCATGCTATGAGGACAATTAACATATGAATCTGATCAGAGAAAATGAGAACTCATAGTGCAAATAAACAGTTAACAGATGACAGATACAGAAAACACCAGTTTACCTGTGGTAGAGTTTGATGTGTTTGGCAGATGACACTTCTCCGGAGAAGAGAGATGTCAGGTACGGTAGGAACTGCTTGGCTGAGTCCCGAGGGCCTAACTCCCGTGTAGTGCTGTCAAAGAGGGACCAGGCTGCTTGCACTGTTGTGTATTCATTCTGCAGCAAGTCTTGGATGTATGGCAGCACTATACCCATGCCCTCTGACCCCAGATAACTCTGATACTTCCACAGAAATGTCCCCAGTAGAGGCACCTGAGGAAGCAAAACACTGCATGTGAGAAAACCACCGCTTGTGTTCTCTGCAGCAAGATGTACATTAGTGATCATTGTTGAAGCAATGTGACTACATATCAGCATTCATCATCATCATGTGGAGGAACTTTGCAGAATGTCATTTCCCAGCCAACCAATAAGGATCTCACCCCTTGACAATTTCCTAAATAGATTTTCCACCATATTTCCATTTTCGAACTCTTAGTTTATGTTGTGTAGATGAACTTCCTGTAGGATAATTTTATGTCACTTCTGTTCGTAGATAAAGACTGTGCTCAAGATATTCTTTTGTCATTTCTGCATCCTCTTTTTCCAAAAACTGACTGGCTGTGCTATTTGTTTATTCAGGCACTCTTCACTGTGATGTCAATTCTTCTCAACTCAACTCAACTCAACTCAGGCACTCTTCACTGTGATGTCAATTCTTCTCAACTCAACTCAACTCAACTCAGGCACTCTTCACTGTGATGTCAATTCTTCTCAACTCAACTCAACTCAACTCAGGCACTCTTCACTGTGATGTCAATTCTTCTCAACTCAACTCAACTCAACTCAGGCACTCTTCACTGTGATGTCAATTCTTCTCAACTCAACTCAACTCAACTCAACTCAGGCACTCTTTACTGTGATGTCAATTCTTGACTCAACTCAACTAAGGCACTCTTCGTTGTGATGTCAATTCTTCTCAACTCAACTCAACTCAACTCAGGCACTCTTTACTGTGATGTCAATTCTTGACTCAACTCAACTCAACTCAACTCAGGCACTCTTCGTTGTGATGTCAATTCTTCTCAACTCAACTCAACTCAACTCAGGCACTCTTTACTGTGATGTCAATTCTTGACTCAACTCAACTCAGGCACTCTTCGCTGTGATGTCAATTCTTCTCAACTCAACTCAACTCAACTCAGGCACTCTTCGTTGTGATGTCAATTCTTCTCAACTCAACTCAACTCAGGCACTCTTCGTTGTGATGTCAATTCTTCTCAACTCAACTCAACTCAGGCACTCTTCGTTGTGATGTCAATTCTTCTCAACTCAACTCAACTCAGGCACTCTTCGTTGTGATGTCAATTCTTCTCAACTCAACTCAACTCAGGCACTCTTCACTGTGATGTCAATTCTTCTCAACTCAGCTCAACTCAACTCAGGCACTCTTCACTGTGATGTCAATTCTTCTCAACTCAGCTCAACTCAACTCAGGCACTCTTCACTGTGATGTCAATTCTTCTCAACTCAGCTCAACTCAACTCAGGCACTCTTCACTGTGATGTCAATTCTTCTCAACTCAGCTCAACTCAACTCAGGCACTCTTCACTGTGATGTCAATTCTTCTCAACTCAACTCAACTCAACTCAGGCACTCTTCGCTGTGATGTCAATTCTTCTCAACTCAACTCAACTCAACTCAGGCACTCTTCGTTGTGATGTCAATTCTTCTCAACTCAACTCAACTCAGGCACTCTTCGTTGTGATGTCAATTCTTCTCAACTCAACTCAACTCAGGCACTCTTCACTGTGATGTCAATTCTTCTCAACTCAGCTCAACTCAACTCAGGCACTCTTCACTGTGATGTCAATTCTTCTCAACTCAGCTCAACTCAACTCAGGCACTCTTCACTGTGATGTCAATTCTTCTTAACTCAGCTCAACTCAACTCAGGCACTCTTCACTGTGATGTCAATTCTTCTCAACTCAACTCAACTCAACTCAGGCACTCTTCGCTGTGATGTCAATTCTTGACTCAACTCAACTCAGGCACTCTTCGCTGTGATGTCAATTCTTGACTCAACTCAACTCAGGCACTCTTCACTGTGATGTCAATTCTTGACTCAACTCAACTCATTCACTCCTTGCTGTGATGTCAATTCTTGACTCAACTCAACTCAGGCACTCTTCGCTGTGATGTCAATTCTTGACTCAACTCAACTCAGGCACTCTTCGCTGTGATGTCAATTCTTGACTCAACTCAACTCAGGCACTCTTCGCTGTGATGTAAATTCTTGACTCAACTCAACTCAGGCACTCTTCACTGTGATGTCAATTCTTGACTCAACTCAACTCAGGCACTCTTCACTGTGATGTCAATTCTTGACTCAACTCAACTCAGGCACTCTTCACAGGAGAATGCTGAACATTTCTTGCACAGATAAACTGAGTAGTCTCAATGTTTTGACTGAAACTAAAACACAAATATAACTGATCTAAAACATCAGAAAGAGGCCAGATTTACACAAAATTAATTCACATCTACAGCAAATCTTTTTGGCATTCACTGACTGTAAACTACGATGGAAAAGTTCAGGCTGTTCGTCAACTTCTGGACTGATTCTTGTTGCAGAACTTGAGTGCTGCATGCACATCTGTTTTACAGATCTGGTTTATCTGTATGCAGATTAATGGTTCTTTGCCTCTGACATAGATGTCTTCCAATTTTGAAGGAAACCCCTAAACAGTTAACTCTTACAGTATGCTTGTTAAGGAGGCAGTAGGTCTGTGGAGTCCCAGAAGACACACAGGAAGTTGCCCAATAATCTGCTGATATTTGAAAACCTTCTGGGTTGGTGTCTGTTGACAAGGACAGGTCTACAACCATGTCCAAAACTGGCATCAGTCTGCAAATGCTGTGCTGACCCACATGCTATGCTGACCCATGGCCTGGGCTGACCCATGGCCTGGGCTGACCCATGGCCTGGGCTGACCCATGGCCTGGGCTGACCCACATGCTGTGCTGACCCACATGCTGTGCTGACCCATGGCCTGGGCTGACCCATGGCCTGGGCTGACCCACATGCTGTGCTGACCCACATGCTGTGCTGACCCATAGCTCTCAGCTTGTCAAGGACCCAGTACCAGTGGTTGGTTCTCTGTTGGAGAGGGGAGGGAGGGATGATAATGTCCTTTGGGAGAACAATTTCTAAATAAACCTCACTCTGACAGCTGCAAAGCTCTTTTCAGGACTAGTAAATAGAAGACCAATGCACCAGACTTAAAGAGTGAAAACTGAAGTCTTCCAGAGGGTTCACATGTAACAACAACAACAACTTGCCTCACATACAGTTCCTGTTCCTACCTTTTCTCTTTCAAGCTGTTTCATTTTACTGGCTCTCTCTTGAAGAGATATCCTTGTCTTCTTCAGCAGCTCAATCTGCCAAGTTTTCTCCTCAACCTTGTTGAGACAGGTGTACAGCTCGCCAAAGTACTGGGGGAAGGGGATCAGGTCAGAGTAGGACTGGATGAGGAACCCTGGTGTTGGCGGAGGACTTCCATCGGGGAATATCGCTTTAAAGTACATTCTTTTATCTTCCGTAACCTCTAGGCTTTGAAACATGTCCCACACAAATGTCTGCAGTGGCCTGATGTACAACAAAGTTATCATGTAAAACATATCTACCTTTCAAATACACACACTAATTTGTTACGACATCACAATGACAATATAGAAATTGATTTTTTTCCCATATCAAATAATATCTTTAAAAAATGTCTTCTAAAAATATACTCCTACCCACCATGTCTGCACGTAATGCAGTTTCAGCCAGTACCAAAGCCATTATATACGAATATCGGCCACTGCTCCAAGATGTCATGTCAACAAAAGCAAATAAAAGTTGGACAAGGGTTAACGTCAACCAGTGATTTTCCACAGATGTGCATGCAAGTAACAGCCACTGAGTAGTGACTTGTCACTGTGTTCTGACCAGCTGCCAGTGTGTAGTGTCTTGTCACTGTGTTCTGACCAGCTGCCACTGTGCAGTGACTTGTCCCTGTGTTCTGACCAGCAGCCACTGTGCAGTGTCTTGTCCCTGTGTTCTGACCAGCAGCCACTGTGCAGTGTCTTGTCCCTGTGTTCTGACCAGCTGTCACTGTGCAGTGTCTTGTCCCTGTGTTCTGACCAGCAGCCACTGTGCAGTGTCTTGTCCCTGTGTTCTGACCAGCAGCCAGTGTGTAGTGACTTGTCCCTGTGTTCTGACTAGCTGCCACTGTGCAGTGTCTTGTCACTATGTTCAGACCAGCTGCCACTGTGCAGTGTCTTGTCCCTGTGTTCAGACCAGCTGCCACTGTGCAGTGTCTTGTTCCTGTGTTCAGACCAGCTGCCACTGTGCAGTGTCTTGTTCCTGTGTTCTGACCAGCTGCCACTGTGCAGTGTCTTGTTCCTGTGTTCTGACCAGCTGCCACTGTGCAGTGTCTTGTCCCTGTGTTCTGACCAGCAGCCACTGTGCAGTGTCTTGTCCCTGTGTTCTGACCAGCTGCCAGTGTGCAGTGTCTTGTCACTGTGTTCTGACCAGCTGCCACTGTGCAGTGTCTTGTCACTGTGTTCTGACCAGCTGCCACTGTGCAGTGTCTTGTTCCTGTGTTCTGACCAGCTGCCACTGTGCAGTGTCTTGTTCCTGTGTTCTGACCAGCTGCCACTGTGCAGTGTCTTGTCACTGTGTTCTGACCAGCAGCCACTGTGCAGTGTCTTGTCACTGTGTTCTGACCAGCAGCCACTGTGCAGTGTCTTGTCACTGTGTTCTGACCAGCTGCCACTGTGCAGTGTCTTGTTCCTGTGTTCTGACCAGCTGCCACTGTGCAGTGTCTTGTCCCTGTGTTCTGACCAGCTGCCACTGCGCAGTGACTTGTCCCTGTGTTCAGACCAGCAGCAACTGTGCAGTGACTTGTCACTGTGTTCTGACCAGCTGCCAGTGTGCAGTGTCTTGTCACTGTGTTCTGACCAGCTGCCAGTGTGCAGTGACTTGTCCCTGTGTTCTGACCAGCTGCCACTGTGCAGTGACTTGTCCCTGTGTTCTGACCAGCTGCCACTGTGCAGTGTCTTGTTCCTGTGTTCTGACCAGCTGCCACTGTGCAGTGTCTTGTCCCTGTGTTCTCACCAGCTGCCACTGTGCAGTGACTTGTCACTGTGTTCAGACCAGCTGCCAGTGTGCAGTGTCTTGTCACTGTGTTCTGACCAGCTGCCAGTGTGCAGTGTCTTGTCCCTGTGTTCTGACCAGCTGCCACTATGCAGTGTCTTGTCACTGTGTTCTGACCAGCTGCCACTGTGCAGTGTCTTGTCCCTGTGTTCAGACCAGCTGCCACTATGCAGTGTCTTGTCACTGTGTTCTGACCAGCTGCCACTGTGCAGTGTCTTGTCCCTGTGTTCTGACCAGCTGCCAGTGTGCAGTGTCTTGTCCCTGTGTTCTGACCAGCTGCCACTGTGCAGTGTCTTGTCACTATGTTCAGACCAGCTGCCACTGTGCAGTGTCTTGTCACTGTGTTCTCACCAGCTGCCACTGTGCAGTGTCTTGTCCCTGTGTTCTGACCAGCTGCCAGTGTGCAGTGTCTTGTCCCTGTGTTCTGACCAGCTGCCACTGTGCAGTGTCTTGTCATTGTGTTCTGACCAGCTGCCACTGTGCAGTGTCTTGTCCCTGTGTTCTGACCAGCTGCCACTGTGCAGTGACTTGTCCCTGTGTTCTGACCAGCTGCCACTGAGCAGTGTCTTGTCACTGTGTTCAGACCAGCTGCCACTGTGCAGTGTCTTGTCCCTGTGTTCTCACCAGCTGCCACTGTGCAGTGTCTTGTCCCTGTGTTCTGACCAGGTCAATTAAGTTATTTATTTATGCTAGAAGTGCAGCAGGTGTGTGATGCTCGACTTGATTTTTACAGACCAATCAGCACTCAGTGGGTGATGTAGTCATTATTCCGACTACCTTTACTTCCCCTGACTTGTCCAAGTACCCATTTTAGGCTGGGTTCACCTGGGAGCCAAAGTCATTTCTGAAGAAGAAAAAACTGTGACTGCAGATTTGAATGAAAGACCTTTTGGCCGGCAGACGAGCCTCTCACTACAGCAGGTCCAGTTCTGTTGAGGAGGGTGTTCAATCACAGACCTCTCACTACAGCAGGTCCAGTTCTGTTGAGGAAGGTGTTCAATCACAGACCTCTCCCTACAGCAGGTCCAGTTCTGTTGAGGAGGGTGTTCAATCACAGACCTCTCACTACAGCAGGTACAGTTCTGTTGAGGAAGGTGTTCAATCACAGACCTCTCACTACAGCAGGTCCAGTTCTGTTGAGGAGGGTGTTCAATCACAAAACTCTCACTACAGCAGGTCCAGTTCTGTTGAGGAGGGTGTTCAATCACAGACCTCTCACTACAGCAGGTACAGTTCTGTTGAGGAAGGTGTTCAATCACAGACCTCTCACTACAGCAGGTCCAGTTCTGTTGAGGAGGGTGTTCAATCACAGACCTCTCACTACAGCAGGTCCAGTTCTGTTGAGGAGGGTGTTCAATCACAGATGGGTGAAACAAGGAAAACTAGAAAATAACAAGTGGAAACAGAACGTACAGTGAAGAAGAAAAGCAAGGAAAACTAGAGAATAACAAGTGGAAACAGAACATACAGTGAAGAAGAAAAGCAAGGAAAACTAGAGAATAACAAGTGGAAACAAAATACAGAATGGAGAAGAATGGAGATGGAAGGCAAAGCATAAGCTTTAAAGGCTGAAAGGCAGTAAAAGTGCATTTTTGAAACATACCTCTGAACTGCTGACAGATGGGGTAAACAAAGCCACACATGAAAACTTTACCTCTAAATTGCTGACAGATGGGGTAAACAAAGCCACACATGAAAACTGTACCTCTGAATTGCTGACAGATGCGGTAAACACAGTCGCTCTATGGTCTTGACTCTCTTCCACAGAGGGGGGTGGCTGTCCTGCATGCGCAGTTTGGCATCTAGAAACAACTCACAGGTCAAACACATCAAGGTCACCATATCCTCTGTGATACCATCATCCTGGTACTTGGGATGTGGCGAAGGCTGTTATAGGAATAGGAACAGTTGTAACTATCAATGCAGCTGCCATGGACTAAGAGACACAGCCCCTTCAATAGAACCAGGTCTCAATCTAGTTATATATACTCAACAAACCTAAGGAGCCCGACAATGTTGTAGCTCCAACTGTTCCTGGGGGACTCAGTAAGATGTTTAGCCTTTTCAGACAAGGGAAAAACAAGAGACCATACATGCATTTCATTAATTTTTTTCCCTTTCTAGACCGTACATTTCTTCTGTATTCCCTTTATCATCTAGAACACCATCTACTTCTGTCATTCATTGCTGCTCCAGCAAAGTACAAGACCCTTTATACACCAATGGTGCATCAGGCACATGATGCTAGTCTCACTATAATAAAGAGATCAGCCCCCAGTGGTCAACATCTCGCCAACCACCTTTACTTCCCAGGATATTAGCTGGCACTCATGTAAGGCTTGTCAACCGGGAAGCCACCGTCATTGGAATAATGTATGTATGCAAACTGGTCCAGTCAGCCAGCCCCAAACACCCTCCTGGGCTGGAGGATGACAGTCAAAGCTTCTGTAACAGCCGACAAACAGGCAGAGAATAAACTGCTTCACCAGCACCATTCCCAGCCATATAGAGAAGCCATTCATGCGTAACTTTCTTTTATCTGTTCACACGTGGCTCTAGGCAGTTACAGTCGTGGTTCTAAGGTCACTTAAGTCTGGCAATATAAGTACCAGGAGAGAAAATGGGTGACAGAGCTGAGCAATTCACCAGGCTATGCATGATCCTAATACTGTATTTGCTAACAGGTTGTCTGTACCTTTTTGGCTGATGTCTCAGTCAAGATAAAGCACTGATGTCTTGCTTGATGTTCCTGGTAGCAATTACTAGATTGTCTGTGGTCCCCTTTTCATCTTTCCAAGCTTGCTACAGGGGACATGAGAATTACAGCTAATGGAGAACGAATTGGGCACGCAGGCCCATCTAACATTCTGCCTTTCTAGTCCTCATTGATACATTAAGTAATACAGGTTCAGATTTAGACAACGGATCAACATCATGGCACAAGGGTTAACCCATAAGTGCTCCATCCTGCGCAGTGCATGAACTCCATAGCACAGGCGAGGATCCTGAAATAATTTGCGTAGATTTTTAACTCCAAATTTTTCCTGGGCAGCGCCGTTAGGCTACTCTTTTCAATTTCCAACTGCCAAGGAATTTTTTATGTGGGCAACAATACAAGGGGAGATGGTGAGACTAGCTCCTATTAGGAAGAATCTTTCACAGAAAGTGCATGTGATTTCAAGAACTCAACTACTGGGTACTACTCAAACTGAAGTCATGCAAATCAGTAGATTTCCTAGTCCACTTCAGAACAGGCTGAATGTTTCTTGTCTGAAGCTGGTTCAAGAATTTAAACATCCAGGAAGTGCATTTTCGAAGGATGCCAGAACAGATCAGGAAATAGAAACAAGATGTCACCGACCAACTCACACCATATTGAGACATCCAAACAAAAGTATGAGAGCTAAGAAACAAATTATATAAACAGTATAATTATACCAACACTG